TTTGTTGCCGCCTCCTAAACAATGTCACGAACTTCTGTCCATAGTTCTTCAGGGACTCTATTTACTAAATCTAGTGCTTTAAATCTGTTCTTCACTTCCACTGCATATTTGCTAGGAATGTTAGTGAGATCATATCTAACTGGTCTGTGTGTTTTCCCTGGTCTCTTTAGTTTTATTCTAAATTGAGCAATAAGAAATTCGTGATCTGAACTACAGTCAACCCCAGGTCTTATTTTCACCGACTGGATGGATGTCCGCCACCTTTGACTGCAAAGGATGTAGTCAATCTGATTTCGGTGCTGACCATTTGGTGAAGTCCAAGTATAAAGCCATCTTTTAGGTTGTTGGAGGAGAGTGTTTGTTATACACAGGGAGTTTTCCTGGCAAAATTCTATCAGCCTGCGTCCTGCTTCATTTTGTTGTTCCAAGACCATGCTTGCCTGTGATCCCAGTTGTCATTTGACTTCCCACCTTGGCATTCCAGTCTCCCGTAATGAAAATAATGTCTCTTTTTGGTGTATTATCCAGTAGATGCTGCAGATCCTCATAGAATTGATCTACTTCTGCTTCTTCAGCAGCTGTCATTGGGGCATATATTTGGATCACTGTAATGTTGAAAGCTTTCCTTGCACTCGAATCGAGATCATTCTGTCATTTTTTGGGGGGGTTATCCAAGCACGGCTTTAGTAATTTTCTTATTAATTATAAAGGCTACTCCATTTCTTCGGTGTTCCTCTTGTCTACAGTAGTAGATCTGGTGTTCATCTGATGTGAAGTGGCCCATTCCAGTCCATTTCAGTTCACTGACCCCCATAATGTCTATCTTTAGTCTTGACATCTCACCAATAACAACATCCAGTTTGCCCTGGCTCATAGATCTTACATTCCAGGTTCCTATGGTGTGCTGATCTTTAGAGAATCGGATTCGTCATTCACCTCCAGCACCGTCAGCTGCTAGCCTTCCTTTCAGCTTTGAGCTAGCTGCGTCATCACATCTGGGGCTAGTTGAACTTATCCTCTGGTCCTCCCCAGTAGTGTTTTGGCCATCTTCCGACCTAGGAGTTCCATCTTCCAATAGCATACCAACATCTCTCTGGTTGTGCTGGTCCACTTAGTTTTCTTGGCAAGAATACTGGGGTGGTTTGCCATTGCCTTCCCCAGGGATCACGCTTGGTCTGACCTCTCTGCCACGACCATCCTGTCTTGGGTGACCCTTCACAGTTTCACTCATGACATCATTGAGGTGCTCAAGCTCCAGCACCACAACAAGGCAATGATCCTTTGCTGGAGGATCCAGTGTGTGTATCTGTGTAATATATGTGAGTGTGTGTGTTAACATACTTTCTGTCCTGATTTATTCCAGGACAATCCATTTTTTAAAAAAAAATTCAGGATAGGGGGTGATTTTTTTCCCACTGTCCTGGCAGTCACCCCTATCCATTTCCATCTTCTGGGTTCCACTTCCTTCTGTATTTTTGGAGGACTCTGACTGATGACGTGTTAACTGTAGAGGATGAGAAGGGAAGACGAACACACTTAGTCCACTGCTAAACACACTGTGGGTAGGACAAAAATGATGCATCAAACCCTGTTATATTGCTAGCATGACTGGATGCAGGGTGGTAACAACCTACATGAGAGGTGCCCTCAAGAAATATACTAGTCCAGCATTTACCAGGACTATTGCTCTTCTAGAAAGCCATCATTGTTAGTGACTGCCGATGCCTCCAAACCTCTATTCAAGTGGAATATAAACCACAATCTGTATTTTGGTTGTGGGGTATGCTTCCCACCCCCACTCCCAGACCTGAATGTGTCTCTACTGCTTGGAAAAGTAGTACCAGTTTGTTTGGTCTTGTTGCATGTGTGCAGGCAAGTTCTTGAACCAGTCAGATACAAAAACACAATCATACTATGTTCCATTGAAGCAAAGAAGCATTATTTAGGGCCATTTTCTGTTTCTCAACTTTTCTATTTCCTTTGTTTCAAAATGCCGTATGCCCACTTTTCTATTCTTCTTTCTGGTAATTCTGATAATTTTCAAAGGCAATTAAACATTTGGTTATCTCCAAACAATATGACTGGTAACCCTAAACATTATTTCTATTCAGCCTTCTGATACCTCTACAACATTTTGGCCTTTGTCCAAAACATACCACTCAATTACAAGGTATTATTCCAACTGCCATGGCTTTTGTTTTGTTTCGTTTTTCCATGTCAGAAGCGACTTGAGAAACTGCAAGTCACGTCTGGTGTGAGAGAATTGGCCATCTGCAAGGACATTGCCCAGAGGATGCCCATATGTTTTGATGTCTTACCTTCCTTGTGGGAGGCTTCTCTCATGTCCCTGCATGGGGAGCAGGAGCTGACAGAGGGAGATCATCCATGCTCTCCCCAGATTTGAACCCCCGACCTGTCGGTCATCAGTCCTGCCAGCACAAGGGTTTAACCTATTGCACCACTCCTACTGCCATAGCTGCATCCTATGCAATTATGGAGAGTGTAGTTCAGGGAAAAGTAATTAGAATTCTCATCCAAAGGGTGTCTAGGACCAGACCTCAGGTCCTGAGGTTTGATAGAATGCAGTCAATGCAGTTAAAGTAAAATCATGGGGCTATAGCTGAGTAGTACAAAGAGATCTCAGGGCAAAATGGGCAGCATTCCAGGTGCAGAAAGTGAAAATGGAGGGATCCTAAGCTCTGGCTCCTTCCCCCCTGTGGTGAACTCATTCGGAGGTCCAAGGGGGAAATGCATTTGCAGCCACTGGACATGAGCACATGTGGGCTTAATTTGTATTTCAGGCTGTGACATTATGCCATTGCATTTTACGCTTTCTCTGGAAGCCAGCAACCATTTGAAGTCACTGTTGTTCTTGGTTATAAACTCCAGCATCTTCCTCCAGAAATATGTGAGGGCTGTATTCACTTAAATAGCATATAAATAAAAAGCAGAATGTTGCTAAATTAAGCCAGCTTCTTATCTTTTCCTTATTTGAATATATTTCACCTTAAAAAGCCTTAGAGAGCTGACATATAAAGCAAACACACCCAGAAATTTAACATCTGGAACTCTGCTTAACACTTTCCAAGTCTCTTATTCTGTAGACAGTTTTGGCATAATACCTTATGATTCAGATAGATAGTAGTGACTGGAGCTCTCATGTTATTGTCCTCATTTTGACAAGACTTTTAAAGGGATATAAAGAAAACTGCCTCATGGAATTGAATTATATGTTAGTCTCTCCCTTTCTCTTTTTTTGCATGACCCAATACACTACCTGCTCTTTCTCTTGATTCCCAATGCAAAGTGAAAGCGTGACTTAACTGTACAAAACAAATCCATATCCTGTATTTTCTCCTCGCAGGTGAGAGAAGGTCTTATTGGGGCAACACAGTAGTGTGTGTTTAGAAACAAACAGGATGTTAAAGAATAGCTGTGCCAAATATACAAATCAGAAGAAGTTGTTAAAATGTATAGGAGCTGTTGTGGCTTCTGTGCAACTCAGCAGAACACATTCTCCCAGGAGCCAAAGTTATGGATTAAAAATCCATTGCCTTTCCATCATGACCTCAAAGACATTGTGTTGCTCCATTGGTATTGAGTTTATCTGGAGGCACACTTACTACCCTGATCATCTACTGAGGAGGTGAAAGAATGCTACTGAGGGATTGTTGTAAACATCACCAGGGAGATTATCAAATAACCTTGCCAAATAACCTTCCTTTGGTACCTCAAAGGCTTGGAAGAGACTATGGAAATGTCTACAACAAGGATGACTTCATGAGAAGGAACTAATTAAGCATCATTCTGAGTCAATGAAGTTTACCCAGATTTTTTATCTGGGCAGATGAAAGATGAAGTGCTTCAGAACTTGAACAAGCAATTCCTACATTTCCCCTTTAAAAAGAACTAAGAAAAATGTGGGGATTTTTTTTGTTCGTTACAAGGTAACGTTTCACTTTCCCTCCCAGACATTCACAAGTACACATCTAAAACAATTACTTGAAGGTATATTTCACAGAGATTAACGTTACTGACTCCAACTGGTAATTGCTTTCCAGAGCATCCAGAAATTGTGACTATCAGGCCCCATTTACACTGCCATATAAAATCCAGATTCTCTGTTCTAAACTGGATTATATGGCAGTGTAGATTCATATAATCCAGTTTAAAGCAGGTAATCTGGATTATCTGGCAGTGAAGATTCAACCTGTGTCTTTAGAGCCTGAAAAAGTTACTTTTTGAATTCCAAGTCCTAGAATCTCAAAATTAGCTTGGATAGTGAACTAGGGGGCTTTATGAGTTGTAATCCTTTAAAAAAAAACCTCTGTTCTACTATGCGAAATATTTTTTTATTGAATTTGAGATCTTTTGTATGCTAAAGGTGTGCTCTCCCACAGAGCTATGAAGCTGAGGTATCACTTTCCTTTTGCTAGCAGGGATGGAGGAATTTGGTTCCTTGCCCTCATGGGCACATTGCATGGGCATGACTGAAGTGCTGATCCATAATAGCTTGATATTGCTTAATCATATGAGCGAGGGGGCAGAAACAGCTTGGGAACAAATTAGTACATATATTATGCCGAAATCATTTCAGTGAAATATTCTAAAGTTTTCAAAACTCGGATTTGTTTTAAAAATATCCTCCAGATGGTTCTACTCAACCGAGAAAGTAGTAAAAATAAACTTTTAAAATACAAATTGTTGCCATATTTCAGAAAAGGGTATGACTAAGTTCACACACCCAGCAGGACTTTTGATCCGCCCTCCCGTCTCCCTTTTAGTTGAACAGAAGCCCCCATGGGCACAGCAAACTGCTTTTGAAAAATCTGGGAGTGTGAAGGAGAGGCAAACAAGAGAAAAAGCAGTTTGCAATGTGGCATGGGGAGGGGCGACTGTGGGTCAAACACGTTTTAAAGGTCTTTTAATATGCTGCTTAGAGTTCTCTGTAACATAAGTAGGGCTACATTTATTTTAACCAAATATAACACAATTGAAAGGTCAGAAGTCCCATTTGGTATGTGAAAAACTTCTGGATGGGTTGGGCTAAAAGAAGTGCTGCAGATTGCCGGCCTTCTTGATGATTTTAAGTTTATGTTACTCACAGTAGGCACTAGAGACTGACTCCTTAATCTTACACCAGAAGCAACTCAGTGAGGAGGTTGCAGGTAGTGCTATCTCACACTGTCCTCCAGGGGAATCAGGTGGGCAAGTCATTCATCTCATAGAGTGAGCCGTTTCGCCTGAGGTCCCTGGACGACAATAAGGTCAGCTTTATTTATTCTAATGTCAAAGCTATAGGTTCATTTCTGTAGATGTGAGGACTCATTTGCTGATGCTTTGAATGCATATGTAAATTATTACCTATCAGACACCTGGTGCACTGTACAATGATATACATGTGTGTGAGTACATGCATGTGTACACAAACACACATATACATATACACACATACCTACATACTCACACACAAAATGCAGGGAGTCAAATAATTGATAACATTTTGAGAATAGCATTGAAATGGAAGAGTAATGCCAGTAACTGAAACCAACTAGTTGAAAGAAACTTAGAGCTTCTGTAATGAAAAAAGGCAAACTCATTTATTTTTTCTGCTTCAGTTGTAATTTCAGCATTTACTTAATTTCCAAATGAAGGTATCAATGGAGTTAGTACTATCATTAAATGAGAAATGAGGCTAAAGAGCATAGAAATGTTATATTTCTCACCTAACTCTCTTGGATTTTTGCACGACTGCTTCTCACTTTTTGTTCCTGCCGAACAGTTAAGGAATTAAAAGGTTTAGATCACACAATTCAAACCACAAAAATAGTTCTTGTGGGAGGAACTCTACTTAGTTTAAGGAGATGAAGCGAAAGACAAAAGAAAGGGAAGAGAAGGCTTTTGCTGGAGTGGGTGAAAAATGGAGTTCATTTAAAAATATGTAGTTGTTTCCTTTTCTCTTGGGATCCAGAGAGTTCGAGAAGAGGAAGACTAAATTCACGGATGAGGTTCTTTAAAGGTTTTTAGTACATGCATTCAAACTACATTTCAATGGCAGTAAAACATAAATCTAATTGTTAAACTTTCACCGTAATAAAAATATAAACAAAATAGATTCTACACCTCACTAAGACTTAACTTCAGGGAATCAATTCTTATGCACTAAGTTTCTGGTTTTTGAGCAATATGAAATTATATAATATTAAAATCTAAATTACAGGGGGCATTCATTCCTGCCTATCTAATTCAGGCAAGAAAATAAATAAGAAGCAAAAATGCTCTTTCTCGAGAGGAAGGTAGTTTCATTAGTACTCATTTTGAGTGTCTAACAAGCTGACTTCTTTAAGTTTTAGGACATACAACAGAACACTCCATTATTTACTTGAAAATCAGTAAATCAATATGCTAATTAAATGTTCTCTTGGTCCTTATTTATATGAAATATAAGTATTAGGTGGCTGTTGTGATTTTTAATGCATTAGGATTGCTACAAAATGTACAGAGTATTTCATTAGAATTATCTGTATATGCTTCCAGGGCTTCCTGGGACTTGTCATTCAAAAAGTAGTGTTTCCCCCTTATATCAGTGCATCACAATTGAAACAATTTAGGTTGGGAGAAAGTGGTTTGATGAAGGCCACATAATATCTATGAACTATGGACTTCACGATCCATAGGCCAGTGTCTTAGCTGCTTTCCTTTAGTTTAGTTTAGTTTACTAACAAAGGGCACATCTGCACTGACCATTTAATGCAATTTCAAACTGGTACTGAGGAAAATGGTTTCACTGTGCATGTTATTACACAGGAAATCCTAGAACCAATTTGAGGCTCGGATAGTGATTACACAAGCCACAAAACAGTAATATACATTTTTGGGAACTTTTGTGGGCGTTTGTTGTCTGGCCACTGCAGTTTGAAGCTAGCTTCATAGTGCATTAAATGGTCAGTGTAAGTGGGGCCTAAGACTTAATTTTAATAAAGAGATGGTTTTGAATTTGTTCCATATATTTGTAAATATTTTCTCTCATGCTGAACATGTGTTATCCCTTGGTCAAATATTCAGTTGCCCTTGTTTTCCAAAATTCTTGGAGACGTTATCATGTAGCCAAATTTTAATGGTTACATGGTGGCATGACATCATTGCATGAACCACATCATAACTCAGACCAGAAAGAAAGAGGAATAGGCTTGTGAGGAAAGCAGTAACTGAAACTGTCGGATAATATAGGGGGGGGGGGGTTTGCTTTAAAAACACAATAGTTTTATCCAGTTGCACTTGGTTATACTGAAATAATGTGAAACGTTAGTCCACCATTATATCTCATTGATTTCAATTCTGTAAGAGTCTGGAGCTAACAAAGCTCGGGTACTTATTTTCTAAAAGTTGTGTTACATTTGAAACAGTGTTTTTGAAAATAACTTATCATGGTTAGTTAGCAGCACATGAATAATACTGAAAAACAAGCTTGAAATGTTTTTTTAAAAACCACAAAATAGATAATGGTACAAAATGTGAAAAATTCCAGTAAGAATATCAAAAATCCATACATCTTCTCTTTTAAAAGTAACCAGCAAATGCTGCTTGTTGCACAAAAACAAGACTAACAATGTTTATACATGTTTGCATTACTTTTGAAATATAAATTTGCCATATTCCCATTACTAAAGAAAGCAACTCACTGATAGAGTAGCATACTAATTGGAACTCATTACTTCAGACCCCATTAGGTTTGGCTCCTGCCTCTCCTTTTGTAAAAAGAACAGAGAATGGGACTTTCCCACTTCCTTGCTTCCTGGGCCCCTCACAAACTACTGCTAGAGGCTATGAGTCTTTGGGAATGTTTTGGAATATGGTGTGGTGACTGCAAAGTGGAGGTTGGGTTTGACAGAAATTGAGCAGAAAAATAACTCAGAATCCAAGCCATAGTCACCTTAAAGGTAGCAGCAACACATGCGTTACTAAATGTTTGAGTTGGTGTGTGAATGTATGTATTAAGCTTCTGCAACAAGGGATAAGAAAGAATGCTTCCATGTTTCAGTAAGGAGGAGGAGGAAGAGCATCAGTAATCAATACAGTAGTAAGAATAACATGCTTAGAATGAAAAGAGGATGCCTTTCTGACAATAGAAAATTAAAGAGAAACAAATATTAATGTTTGTGGTCAATTCGCAACAAATGCCCCGTTCAAAGGGAACCAATTGCATTTTTAACTGAAATGTATGACGGATAGCTGAGTCACTAATGTTTTTCACTGTTAATAAGGTCGATATGGAACAGAGCTGCTTTAGAATATATATGGCAAAGTGGAACTGCATGCTTTGATGACTGCTATAAAGCAGGCCAAAGATATGCCATATTCAATTAATGTCAATAAGGAACATCTGTATTTAGGCACCCAAGTTACTTAATGCAAACATTTCATAATTATATACTATAGCACACAGAGAGCATTATGAAATGTGGTGTCCCAGTGTGAAAAATATTCGCATTTTTCAGATCAGTCAGCAGTCTTGGTCTGGCTTTGGCTCAGCTTGCTGTCTCCCCATAAGAGTATTCCTTTATAATATTGAATTAAGTACAATCCACATTTTTTCTCTTATCTGTGAAATCTTGTGGTTGCAGTTTGACTGTTTTCATAAAATGAAAGATCCAAGTGCACAAAGTTAGGATGGCTTTCCACCCACCCCCTTTCTTTTTAGTGAAATACATCTGTTCCTCCCCCACCCCACGGGAACTTTTCAAGCTAAGAAGCGAAGACTTAGTCATAAAGACTGTAATTTGAAAGACTCTAAATTTGTACTAGTGTGTACTATACTGAACAATATGGCTGTATGCAAAAGAAAATAGTAAACTCATTTCAGTCTTCCCCCACAGATACTACTGAGTATAGATGGCTTGCAAATGAGGTAGAGAGGATATTGGTAATAAAGGAATCCTGAGGATTGTGGAGTGAGAAAATGGACCATCCTTAGCTTTTCTTCAGGTTCAGTATTCCCTTCTGTATTGTACCATACAGTATATTGAAAGAATTAGCTCACAAATATACTTCATGATGCATGACTGGAACATCATATGGTCAGCTGCATGCATAAAGTGGCCACCAGAGATTTAACACCACAGACTGACTTTTCCTGGCATTATGAACACAACATTTTAAATGCATGCCAATTCATACTTCTTACTATTATCACTAATCAGGTATATAAACATCAACTGTGCATATGCATGAGTTAACCAGTCCACAATAACATCATTTGCCTTCCTTTCTTCTTTATTTGTTTTATATCCTTCACTTCCTTCTCCATTGAGGCTCCTTTCACACCACATGACTATAATGGTATAATTCGACTTTAATTGCTATTGGTTTGTTGTTGTTTTTTGTCGTGTCAGGAGCGACTTGAGAAACTGCAAGTCACTTCTGGTGTGAGAGAATTGGCTGTCTGCAAGGATGTTGCCCAGGGGGCGCCTGGATGATTTGATGTTTTTATCATCCTTGTGGGAGGCTTCTTTCATGCCCCTGCATGAGGACCTGGAGCTGATAGAGGGAGCTCATCCGCCTCTCCCCGGATTCGAACCTGCAACCTGTTGGTCTTCAGTCCTGCCGGCTCAGGGGTTTAACCCACTGCGCCACTGGGTGCAACTAGAGAACCCTGAAGTTTGTAGTTTGGTGAGACACCAGAGTTGCTCTCTACTTTGGAATTCTCAAAACTCCCTCCCTCAATTGCAAATCCTAGCATCCAATAAGGTGTTGCCCTGGCAGTTAAAGTGTGATAATAGTGTTGCAATTGTGTAGTGTGAAGTGGTTCCAGGTCTCCAGGTGGCTTTCAAATCAAAACAAATACAATATTCTATTCATCAATGTCCTTTGGGCAAACATGCATTCCTCCTCCTGCTGCTGCTGCTCTTTATTTCAGACATTTATATCCTGTCCTTCTCACCCCTGCAGGGGGACTCAAGGTGGCTTACAACTGGCAACCATTATATGTCAACAACAATAATCTGTCATGCATTCTAGTCACTGTCTAGAGACTTTTTTTTAAGCCCACAAAAGTTATAGGCGACAAACCCACAATCTTACTGCCTACACAAGGGCACTGACTGTCCCTCTATTGGATCTACAGATGTCTCAGGCCAGACAGCACCTAAACGTGCGCTGAAGTAGGTTTAGGAAACGTACTTAGGTGCATGCTTAAGTCCACCACCACCCCCTAAAGCGCGCACTTTCCTGGGGGGGTGGGGTATCTAGATGCCCTCGAGGTACCTTCTGAGAAGGCACTGAGACACCCCCACCCCCAAAAGGGCTTAAAATAGAAAATAACTTACCCAGCCACCATTAGGCCTTGCAGCACACTTCCTGAAATGTACCAATGCAGCACTAAGAGGCAGCGGAGGGGAGGAACAATTAGCCCCGCTCCTTTAGTGCTACATTGGTACATTCCAAAAAGAACCGGGTAAGTTTTTCTTCTATTTTAATGGTTTTGGGGGGGGGGGATTTGGGGAGGGAGTGAGTTCCCAAGGCCAAAGAAGCGAATTGGCCTGTGTGGACTGACCCCTTAGTAATCCCAGGACTACCTGGCGGTCAGTCCCCATAGGGCCCATACTTCATTAGACCTGGGTCTTTCAGGGAGACCCAGGTCTAATTGAGTATGAAATTAATTTGGGATAAATTAAGGTTTTCCTGCTTTGTCTCAAATTAATTCGGTTTTACCGGAGACATCATTCGAATGCCTCCAGTAAAATTGTAGGAGCTTCCATGTTATGGGCCCTGTCTGGATGGGCCCTCAGTGGGGAAATCTAATTAGTAAAAAAATAATCTATAGGTTTGAGTTAAAACAGGAAGCTCTATTTGTGAAAGGTATCATCTCTCACAAATGACCCATTCCAATTCATTGACTATTCGGGTGAGATGTGAACAGAAACAAACACGCCTGCATCTCAAAGTGCCAACTGAAGGAGCCGCTTTAAAGGATAAAATTTGCAGCAATATGCTTGGCATGATTTTTCTGTAATTTATTTTTGTTGTTGTTGCCAATTTCCACTTTGAAGGAGGCAGTCTGCAGCAACATGTCACTTGTTAGCTTCCTCATATCTCAGTAATTTTCAAGGTGAAAGGTGCAATGTTGTAAATGTGTTTTAAGGAGGAAATCACCGTTTTAATATCCAGTATGATCCCTCCCTCTCTTTTTGCTAGTGTTTTGCCAAGATATAAGCAGAGGTGTGGGGATGGATTGCAATCTCATCTTTAAAAAACTCTTTAAGGGGATTTCCCTTAAGAGGCTAGTGCGCTTTTGAACAAAAAGGCGGAGGAGGAAGAGGAGAGGAGAGGTTGATACTCCTGAAATGACATATTTCACTAAAAATTGGGGTCCATTAAAATTTACCATAGCCCTTGTCTGATTTGATCAGAACAAAAACAGCTTTAAAACAAAACAATGCAAACATCAAAACTTTGCTATGTTTGGGGATAAATCCTGGAAAACAGAGGTACTGATGTACTGATGTTCCTTTTGTATCAGCTATCTGTTGCTGAAGGTTAAATGAACTTGGAGCATTCAATTGTTCTCCGCTTATTCCTGATTGTTGATCAAGATTTTTGAATGTCCATCTTAGAATGTGTCTTATATAAGAAATGAGTTTTGGCACCTGAGTTAAACTGTATTGTAATTGAATTTTTAGCTCCCTGCAACCTAGTTTTACTGGTCACTCAGTCACTGAAATTATCTCAATGTAGGTGAAGAAAATTGTATAATTTCCAAAGCTACTTCCCTCAATTGAGCACAAAAGGTTATGATGAAAATTAACCAAGGAACAGATGGTGGAAGTACTCATGCTTGTCATTTGGCTGTCTGGGTTGAGGCAGAAATTTTTGGCATTTTCTAGTTAAAGTTGAATTTTAATTGAATTTTGGAATTAAAAGATATGTAGTCTGACACTTCAGGAAGGAAAATTGAATTTTCCCCTGTAGCTTCCCAAGGATCTATGTTACAGAAGGACATTCCAGCATCTTCCTACACCTTAGAGCAGGGGTCCTCCAACTAAGGCCCGGGGCCGCATGCGGCCCTCCAAGGTCATTTACCCGGCCCTCGCTCAGGGTCAACCTAAGTATGAAACTACTTGAAAGCATACAATAACAACAACAATCCTATCTTATCAGCCAAAAGCAGGCCTACACTTTCCATTGAAATACTAATAAGTTTATATTTGTTAAAACTGTTCTTAATTTTAATTTTTTTTTGTTTTTAAATGTTTTTTGGACTATAAATAAGATATGTGCAGTGTACATAGGAATTCATTCATGTTTTTTTCCCAAATTATAATCCAGCCCACCAACAGTTTGAGGGACTGTGACCTGGCCCTCTGTTTAAAAAGTTTATGGACCCTTGCCTTAGAGAGTTGATGTACTTGCCATTGAATTTTAGTGGTAAATTTGTTGGCTGATGCTACGTTGTAGCAGTGGACTACACAGAAGGGACAGTGAACAGATTCTCATAAATTGGGATGTATATTTATCTATCCATGGAACAGAAGGAACTTTGGGAGAGCTATTCTCTGACATCACATGAAACTGTAATATCTGTACTGGAACATATGGCATCCCTAAAAATTATTTACATTTAAAAGGATATACATCTTTTTTTAAAAAAATGGAGTTGTCAGTAGGTGATATTAAATATTAAGGGAAATTAGCATTCCTAGGCATTAACTAGTTTTCCTTCCAACAATGGGATTTCCTGAGAGATGCATGCTCCAGAGCAATCAGGTTTACAAATTAAGGTCATGCCAAGACCAATTCCAAAGCAAAACACATTAATTGCATAATATGGAGGTGAGAGAACAAATATGCTAACAATCAGACATCTTTCACCCTTGAAGAAGTAGCTCTTCTAAAAAAATATACTAGTTGATTCTTCAAAGATAGTCCATTGTAACTAGATCTAGAAAGAAATGTTAGCTTTGTGACCTATCTCACTATAATAGCTACAGACCTTTTGAACCCTGCTAGCAGCCAATAATCATATTAACAAGGTGGGTTGTATGGATCTTACTTACCTGTCATCTATGCAGAAAGGAGCTATGGAGTAACAGTGTTCTGAAACAAGGACTTTCATATAACAGGAGCCAGAATACACTGTGAAAACCAAGAAGAGAAAGTGAAGAAAGATTATTCAAATTTTGAAAAAGCTCTTAGAATTCTCCATTGGGAAGGAGGGAGGGGGAAAACCACAAGCAATTTATCTCTCTAATTATATTTATTATCCACAAAGAAAGAGATCTTAAGCAAGATCAGAGAAAACTGAGATAATTAAATTTACTTTCTTTACTTTTACAAAGAAGTGTCAAATTTCATCAGCTTATACGACCTCTAAACAATCTCTAGATAGATGTAGAATTTATAAAAATATTAACAATTCATTTTGGATCTACTCTACAGGCAATCCCCAACACACACACACACACACACACACACATATATATATGGTGTTTGTTTTGCTGTGCCTTGGTTCAGAATATTTCACCTCACTTTCTGTCCCTTGAGAACTGGATTTTGAAAAATGTGGATTGTTGTAGAAACAAGGATTGGTAATAAAACTTTGGTGGAGACATCTTTTTCCCATGATAGCTCTTTCAGGAGCGAATTTCCCTTTCTAGGGGTAGATTTCTCTCATTTCCTGTTTTCTCACCCTGTTTGTAACTATGAATAATTTGTAAGTCGGATGTTTGTAACTCGGGGACTACCTATAGAGTTCACTGCTTGGTTAACTGAAATTCTGATGCACAAAGGTATACCTGATTTTTCATAGGGAAAGTTGTGATAGTTAAACTGGTATCAAACTGCTCTAAGGACCTCAACACATGAGGAATTTTTAGCCAGGGGGAGCAGGGATTGCCCACTGCCCTGCCAATTTACCATGGAGGCTAGTGAATGGGCATGGGGGACCTCATGAATGTGATGAGATCCTATTTGCTCTATGTGGACATAAACTTCATGCCTGTATCATGCAGACCTACATTGTGCCCAGTCATAAATTCTCCCCTCAACTTACCACAGAGCCATTCCTTTTTTTCATAGCAAGCAGGCAGCTTTGGGGAAGTGTTTGGCTAATCTCTCAAAGCCAGACACAAAACAATCAAATAAAGAATCTTGGAGAACCATATTTGTAGGAATTGAAAGCATGTTGAGGATATGATAGCATGATGCTGCAATCCTGCACCATTCTCATTATCAGGAATAGCAGCAACTTAAGAACATTGTAACCTTCATAATCACACCACTACTGGTATCACACAATTGTGATGCTTTGGCAGTGTGAGATCTCATGGTCACACTTCAGGGTAAGACATCCCTCTCCCACTATGCTGTTTCTGTTATTATTATCGTTATCATCGTCATCATCATCACCACCACCACCACCATCATCATCATCATTTTAATCTGGTAAAGACACTTCAAAGTTCTACAAAGTACAGGTAATTTTTTAAAAGAAATCTTTCCTTTGCAGTGAGTGGAGAATGGAAGAGGAGGACAAGCTCGCCCCTGATGATACTGGCATGCCATTACAGAAGTGCCAGGGATCATCATACCAGGTAGTTTGTGGCAACATGGTGCAATCAGATAGTATTGTAAGGTTCAGAGGCTGAGGGTGGATTCATTGTGGGGAGGTGGCAGATCAGTAACAGATATCACATAACATGTATGTCTGCTTGCAATAAAGTGTTCACTTTAACAACTGATGATATGAGCATTGAAAATCACTGGAGCAAATATGCTTTGAATGCACATATTTTCCAAGTTCACTACCAACATAGCCATGTTAAAGAAAGAGCGTACAATCTGTGGAATCTCATGTGGTAAGGCTTGGGAAATCAGACTTGGGCTATACTGGGCTGTGTATGTGTTATATGGCCTTCTGAATGTTAATGAATTGTAACTTTTGGAATACCTCACATTGACAGTGCTTGTTAGAGCAGCTAGGAGTTGCAGTCCTCTGGAGAGTGGCACAATTTCCAGCATCCTTATTCAGTATGAAAACTCATTGTGTTCTAACTTTTCAGTGTGGAAATAATACAATGTATCTGAAATATTGAGATCACAATATTAAGATACTGAGACAAGTATACCCTCTGTGCCAACTAGTCCTCTGTTACCATTTTGGGGGTTACCATGTTTGGTGTGTCCTTTGCTTTTTTCCCTGGTTTACTTCAATTGCTGCAAACGGAGGCCATTTCAAGACAGGCCTTTAACCTGCACCCAATTAGTTTTAAACTCAATTGGGCACAAGTTAATATATACACACCTCACCCCAAAACCCACACTTTCCTGGGGGGAGGGGTCTAGATTCCCTGCTGCTTCTTCTGGCAGGGCACCCAGACATCAATGATAAGCCACCAGAAAAGATTTAAAAAGTAAAAATAACTTACCCTGTTGCCAGGGTCCTCGTGCCGTGTAGAAATGATGTGCTAGGAAAAGGAGGAGCCAGGAGCAATTTTGCCAGGAGAGCTCTAGCACCAGGGTAATGGCAAGTTATTTTTATTTTTTAAGCAGTTTGGGGGAGGGGGTTCCAGCCCTCTGGGTTTTCTAGGCTGATTCAGCCCAGAAAACCTGAGAGTGTTGTGCAGACTGCCATCCACACAGGGCCCATATTGGATTAGTCCCAGGCCTTTCAGGAAGACCCAGGTCTAATCCAGTACCTAATTAATTTGGGACAAAGCAGGGTTTTCCCACTTTGAGACGTTGTTTGGGCACCTCAGGTAAAAGTCTGAGAGGGACTGTGTTTTGGGCCCTATGTGCATGGGCCCTGAGTTCAAAGTACAAAATTAGTATGCACCCAATTAACTCAGTGAGAAAACAGGAAAGATAGGGGCAAAATCTTGCCCTTCTCAATAGGAACAGGCAGACATAAATTGCTACAGCCTCTCCCATCCTGTCTGTTCTTCTCAATTATAACATTTGCCACCTTGACTGCATTTTGATGTTGATTGGCTAAATATGTAGTGGTTTTCACCTAGTATGGAGAAGAACTTGTTTATTTTATCCTTTTTATATATGCCCTTTCATCCCACTGAAAGCTAATTTAAATACCTATGGCAAGATTGCTAGTAACATTTTGCACACACCAGCTATAACCATGGACATGGAAAGGAAAAGAAACTCAAATTATTTTTGTGCATTTGGGATATCAACTTGGAACAAATGCTTATGCAATCCCTAATTAAATTGCTCCTAGGTTGTATTAACAACTAACAAGATTTCTGTCTCCTCCATCACCTCCTCCCCTTAAACACTTTGAACACATAAAATTACAGAATTTGTTTGATTCTCCTCCCACCCACACTCTATTTCTCCCCACCTCTCCAATAAAACACTGGAAATAAAAAGACTCCAGTGCATTTGCAAATTCTAATTATAACATGATAGAAGAACATCACACATCATGACTGGCTTACTTCCAGGGGAAAGAGTTGTATTTTTCAAATGGTAGAAAGTCCCTTATTGCATCGTTGTTGCTCGGTGTTTTTTCCCCTTCCCATTTCAAGTGCCAACATGTTTTTTAAAAAAACAACAACAAAACCTCCTTTCACAAGTGGGGGATTTTTATGAGGAAATAACTGATAAGTTGAGCTGGATGGGTGTCAAGAAAAATTGTGCAATGAACTATACTACACTTTTAATAAGAAATGGTTTTGCTAAGCTAGTTTGTTAAGCTTTGCAACTGAAGATTACAAAGTTTCAAATTTAGGAGGGTCATTATGGATCTAGCAATGTTGAATGATACACTGAATAGCGGAATTTTAGAATACTTATCTGTGGGAAGGTAGCACATCACTAAAATCTCTGCTAATACAAGGATGCCATAAAATATAATAAAATACTAGTTTCAACTGAGATTAAATGTTCATTGAATGAATTTAACCCATGCTGTTGTGATTTTGTTCTGGCTAGATGGATTGCCTGTGTAAGGTATATTTTCAGTACAGATAAAACAATATTTAGATAACATGTTGTTAATTAGTGTACATATATGTTCACAAATAGAAGCTGCTTTATAATACACTTCTAAAATCGAAGAGTGCAGAGATTACAGAATTAGATTGACTCAATATATAGGAGATAGTATCTTTGAAACTTAAAAGGTTTACGGCGCAGTCTTGCTCTCGCCCAGACTTTAGACTATCTGAAGGATCTTATATGTGTGTGCTTCAATCTTAAGATGTTTGGAAAAGGTTTTCCCTCTCTCCTAACACTATCACAGGGCAGTGGATGGAACCTTCTCAGGAGCTTTTCATCTATTATGGAATTATCTCCGACATGATACTGAGGCCCCTTATACACAGCCATAAAATCTAAGGCCGTTCCACACAGTCATATAATCCAGAATATCAAGGCAGAAAATTCCACAATGGACCCCTCCACACAGCCCTGTATCCCCTGTATGGGGGAGGGGGTGGGATTCCCAGTTTTCTGGACTAATTAATCTAGAAAATGGTGAGAATAATGTCTGGGCTGCAGTCCAGACACCAGAAGTAATGGGTTTATCCCACACCTTCCAAGAAGGTGTGGAATAAATCCATTATCTAATTAATTCACCACAAACCAGGGTTTTCCTGGTTTGTGGCGAATTAATTGCCGATTGGCCAGAACATCATCTGGACAACCCCCTTTTTTTATTGTAGTAGTTTCCACAATAAAGAAGCTGTCTGGATGGGCAGTCAACACTAGCATATATTCCAGTTCAAAGCTGATAATGTGTGGAAGGGGTCCCAGATTATCAAAGCTGATAATCCACATTATCTGCTTTGAAGTGGATTATATGAGTCTACACTCTCTCCTCCAGATCAAAGCAGATAATCTGGATTTTATATGGCAGTGTAGAAGGGGCCTGGATATTATGGGAGGTTTAGTCCATCGCATCTAATAGGCAGCAGATTGCGGAAGTCTGCTTTATGATAAACTTCTACTATGAGACACTGCTCAGTTCTAATAACAATGGCCACTTCCAGACAGCAATTTGTTTGGAGAGAAAAAGGGTTAAAGTACCGCTTTTTTCCCATGCTGCTGTCTGCACAGGTGCTCAAAGGAAGCGGGCTTTGCCGTGTGTTGTTCCCATTGTAGCGTTGTAACAAGAAAAACTTACTGGGATGCCATTATGCCTTTTGGCATGCTTTTTGGAATGTACCAGTGTAATGCTAAGAGTCAGGGAGGGGGTCCTTTGTTTAATTTGTCTTGAAATAATTCAGTTTTACCAGAGACATCATTTGGATGCCTCCGATAAAACCGCGGGAGCTCCCGTATTATGGGCCCTGTCTGGATGGGCCCTATATTACCTAGTTGTGAAACTGATTTGATGATTTACCTACTAGCTGGGAAGGAGGGGGTTTGCTAATCAGAATTAATTAAAATGTCCCGGGGAGATTGTCACAAGCATGATGTTTGGAAATGGGAAAATAAAGGGATCTTCCCAATCTGTCAGAGTTTTTCCATCAATATGTGAGCTGTTGACATATTAATTCACTTCTGTGAGTGCTTGCTTTGAGATTTCTTGCCAGTGCCGTCACCTTTTATTTTTTAAAAAAACACACACGCACAAATGCTTTTTGAAGTATTTATGGAGATCTGCCCTCCCTTGATTCATTCATCAGATTCTATAAAAAGGAGACAAACATCTTGTTTTATGTTTCCAAGATGACACAAGATCAAAAGCCTTGCATATTAAAAACCTTAATTACAGATGATAGGTTGATTTTTTAGAAATCCCTTCTGGATTATATTAAACAAGAATTACTACTGTATTCTTTGGAATACAGTCTGTAGCAATCAGTGTAGCCCTGAATATAAAATTATTAGGTTTGGCAGTCAAGGATAACACTTTTCTCACTTATATAATTACAACATACATCTTCAAATTACTAGTTCCAAGACCAGTAGCTCCACAACCCCTCTCAAATTATGCCTCATGTCAATAACGTTAACACTGACTCTTCCTTTAATTTTTGCACTTGCAGTAGCTTCCGAATGCATTTTTGTTCTACACAAGATTCCTTTGCATGGATTGATTTCATTTTTGGCACCATCTGGAATCAAGGGAGCCATTCTCAGGATGTACATACACAGAACTTCAGTTGGGGTTGAATGCTGCATTTGTGCCTCTAGTTTGTAATCTCAGGGTCTGCCCTATTTCCATAATACTTAGAAATACACATTACTCTAGGAAAAAAATCCACAAAGGGTGGTTCTACATTGGCAACCACAGTGGGTCTGACCCAGCCTGTGAGATGCCAGATAGGGCCTGCTTTGCAGCCCATCAGGGGCTTGCTGTGCCACCTCAGTGGCAGCGAGGAATCCTCACTGCCCAGCCATACCAAAAACAGTTTAGCACACTGGATATGAGCCATACTTGCTGCCACCCCTTTCTCTTTGTGTCTATGTTGGCTACAGCAGCAGCATGGCCACCTACCTTATCCTTGGGGATCCTCCTTGCTTCGATTCTGTCTTGTGACTCGCAATAAAAGCTGGGAAAAGGGAATGAATCATCAAGGAGCCTGGGAGGAGGGAAAAGTCCCCCCTTTCTCCTCTCAGCCTCTATTATGAATTATGCAATGCAAAGATCCCACCCCACCCCGCCCCCACCCCAAGATCAGCTAGGTGGCCCTGTCACTGCTGTAGGTGATATGTGTGTGTGTGTGGGGGGGGGGGGGGATACCACATCCCTAGGCTGCCTTACCAGAAAGCATGGAATAGCTGTTTTGACAGGGCCAAACTTGAGAGGGAACCCCACTCCTGCTTCAGGGGTTTTTTCCCCCCTGGGTTGGCTTAACTTAGGGCATTGTGGCTTTCCCCAGGTTAATCTGAATCATCCCCTGTGTGGCATTTAGCTAGTATACTAGGGTTTGTTTCATGGGCAATGCAATATAGTATAGTTCCTTAAAAACCCTGTGGCATTACTGTCACTAATCAGTTACCCACAGAGCAAAATAATACTTTCCTAGGATCGTCTTGGATAAGCATTCAACTTAGTGCTTTACAGATCCTTCTATATCTGTAGTAGCAATTGCTTTCAAGTGTGAGATTTGGCAGAGTTCCTACAAGTACACCAAAGTATTTTTGGATGGGCCACTGCAAAGTTTTGAAAGATGAAACTGTAACTTATCAAAGGATTTGTTCTTGATAGTCCACCTGTCAGTCACTATTAGATGTATTGCAAATGATGCAGTCTGGGAAACTCAGTTTAAATTAATCATTAGATTTAATCCTGGGGAAAGTACTACAGGTAGAAGGTTTCACAGATAACATCAGCTCACAATTTATCCCCAAAATGTATATGAGAACACAGCAAACTGCCTAATATTAGTTCACAGTATTGATCTACTCAGACAAATTAAGAGTCACCTATTCAGACCAGGAATATCTCTTTAGAGACCTTTGCCATCATCTGACATTTGATCATTTTTTTCTGGAGATGTTGGAGACTCGGCATGCAGTTTTCTTCCTGCAACATATGTGGCCTACCACTAAGCTATGGCTGCTCACTAACCTTGGTTGAATTCCGACTATAAGTACAGTTTTGCTGGCCAGAGTATTTCCCTTGCTGCTCATAATCAACATGAAGGACTGTGATTATGGTCTTGTACACATTATCATGGAGTGAGATGTGCATCTCATTCTGCTTGGCTGGTATACAAGCATAAAAAGGAACCGTTTCATTTGAATAAAAAGTGTTCCAAGGCTTGGAAAAACCCACCTAATTCTTCCCATCCTCATTTTATCTGAAACCATATGCAGAAAAGTTATCCTACAGAAGTCAAAGATTCTTATGTTTCCAGCCCAGATGGAATAAGAAATGCTCAATTGTTCCAAAAAGGAGCCTATTCTCAGCCTGATAACTGTTTGGTAAGTATTTTAAATTGAAAGGCTTTGATGTTGATCCATCCCCACCCCATATCAAATGTTAAAACTATCCTGGAGTTTCACTCTGCTTTCTGATTATTCATTCTGAACTATAGTAACAGAAATAGTCCAGCCAAAAAACAATTATGAAGCATAGCTTGCTTTGAACTTGCCAGTGATGAGGGCTGACTAATTTTAACCACATATGATGATAATTATTACCTAGAGCATTTGCCAGTGAAGTCAGGAATTACTGATGTTTATACAAAGCAGACAACTTGATTTTGGGGCTTAACATGAAAATGTAATTAGTAGCTGTTCAAAGTATGATCCCCACTTTTTTATTTCAGTTTTGAATATTACTTTAGTGAATATTAAAAGAATCATCTTTGGATGCAACAAAAACACTTCAAGGTTCAATGTATTGTCGAAGGCTTTCATGGCTGGAATCACTAGGTTCTTGTGGGCTATAGGGCCATGTTCTAGAGGCATTTCTCCTGACGTTTCGCCTGCATCTATGGCAAACATCCTCAGAGGTAGTGAGGTCTGTTGGAATTAGGACAATGGGTTTATATATCTGTGGAATGGCTGGGGTGGGGCAAAGAGCTCTTCTCTGCTGGAGAAGGTTCAATGCTTCACTATCACACACTGCTTCTGCTAAAACTCAGATGACAATGGCAAGATAGGTTTAAATCTGCTTGTCCCAACTAGAGCAGATACATTGACTCAACGATTGAGTTTTAAACGGATATTTATATTAATCCGAATTATTGCATTTATAGCCTATTAAGTATACTTAGGTTTTTAGTCTTAGAGCTATAACCTGATATTTACTAACCTGGGAGTATGCCTCAGTGAACTCAACATGGTTAGTTTTGAGTACTATGCATTGGGTTGCATTATTAGATTATCTTTTTTACAATGATTACTGCTATATGTTGATGGTGGTGTTGCTGTTTTCTAAGTGTGTAAATTGGTACTATATTTTTTTTATTTACTTTATTTATATCCCGCCTTTCTCTACTCTGAGGGGAACTCAAAGCAGCTTACAAATGGCATCTACACAGTGCCTCAAAGCATACAATATTCACTTTAAATGATTTATATTAAAATTACTAATAAACATTATTAGTAATTTAATTTATTAGTAATTTATTATTAATTTATTAGTAATACATTAATAATAAACATTACTAATTACAGATACAATGTAACTCTTACATTTCACACAAATTTGTTATAAACCTACTGCTGTCCTCTTTTTAACAATACTTAGGATATTTATATAGTCACCTTATTAAAAAAAGATGAGTCACATTAATCTGATGATGTTTTACTGTAGGTCTTCAAGTCATTTCTGATTTAAGACTCTCCTAAGGCAACCCTGTCACAGAGTTTTCTGGGTAAGATTTGTTCAGAGGAGGTGTGCCTTTGCTCTCCTCTGAGGCTGAAAGAGGGTGACTTGCCCAAGGCCACTCAATGGATTTCCATGGCTAAGCAGGGTTTCAGACCCTGCTCTCCACAGCCATAGTCCAATAATCAAACCACTAAACTTCACTGGCTTTCTTTGAAACTGCTATTAAACAGTGGTAGACTTTTAATGACAAGAGTTGTTTATGTGTGCTATTCATAAGATTTATGTTTATGCTTTCATTTGGTGCTTCAGATAACAGCCCACTAAGTTCAGGCACTGTTGAATTCTGTGTTATTCAAATTGTGAGTTCCAAAGACTTTCCCTCACTATTTGTAGGCTTTTAAATGGCACAGAATAACACTTACTATTAAAGCATGTGTACACAAGTGCATACATGTACAGAGATAAAATTCATAGGTATGTTAAATAGCTAAATATTAGGATTTCACATTTTATTAGTTGTGTACAATGTTCCTGTTTGGTTATTTTCACATATTTATTTTAAATGTTAGCGTTAATGAACAATGTAAGGTAATTGCATTTCCAGTTTTTGTATACCCAGGTGAAATGTCATTGCTATGAACTGCCAACAAGTGAACTTCATCTTACAGTGATTCCATGAATGAAAAACCTCCCAGTCATTCTGTCATCAGCAGCTGTACTCAAATCTTGCAGTGTGGCTGCCTTGGTTGGATAATGACTGTAAGGGTGCTTCCAGATAGCACTAAATCATGGGTGTTTAAAAGGAGCAAAAAATCCCAGAATTTCAGAAGAGGTCCACATACAGAGCTGTTGGTCCCAGGATTTCTGGCTCCGTTGTCCAGACTTGATGCTTTGTTGCAAGATTTAGAGGCTCCCAAGATGGTCACCACAGGACTTCCACCAGAAACTTCAGCATTTTTTTCTAGAAAAAAACCTCACGATGTGGATATGTGGAGAATCACAGCAACAAATCACTGCAAAAGTTCTGGTTTTTGTCTGGGCCAGAGAAACTGTGCCCTCCAGATGTTTCATGAAGTATCTGACACACAAACTCAAGTGTTACCTTCTTTTTAGGAACTGACCAATCAGGAACAAACATCTAAAACCCAGGAACAAACCCAGATAAAAACATGCAAAGATCCACATATTCGTCTCAAAACTGTAATGTTCCTGCAACTGGAAATCCCGCTTTTTTGCCTTTTGTAATGATTGCTTCCATGTTTACAGGGAAATGCATCTGGCCAACCCTCCTGTTTCCTGAGGAAGCTCCTGGGATAAAGGTACTGTCTGGATGGGCCCTAAGACTGTTGTCTTCATTTCCCGCTGCCTTCTACCTTGCCAAATATGATTGTCTTGTCTAGTGATTATTATGTCTTCTCATGATATGTTCAAAGTACAACAGTCTTAGTTTAGATCTCATGTTATCTAGGCAGAGTTCAATTTGATTTACCCTAGGACAACCTTAAAGGCCTTTTCACACAGTGATATATCTCACCTCTGACACCCTTTTGCATATTGGTTCCTATGGGTCCTATAGCATGATGCATGTTTTTCCCCCTGTAGGTAACCCCTGTAGGCACCCATAGGCAAAGGATTTGCAACCAGTGCCTTTTGAAAGACAAATTTCCAACTGCATTCACTCATCCTTTATTTCTCTGCATACATCAGAACTGTGACTTTTGACATGTGATTGTAATCACATATGCAGCTCATCTACAGCTTATCACCTGTGCCAGGTATGTGCCTTTTGGGACATACTCTGTAATGTATATTTAAATTCTGCTCAAAACATTTTGTGTTTGCTTAAGAAGTCAAACATGTATGATAATTTCTAAACTGATTAAATTCCCAAGGTCATTCAGATCAATATAATAGTTTTGTGCATTACTATTTGTGGTTTTCTTTAACATTACATTTCTGTGTTCACAGTATAATATAAACTGTGGGGAAATTTTACATTGAAAAGAAGGTGTGCTTAAGTCTCATTGAAATTACTGGAATGAAACAATGGAGTTAAGGAGCAAGGCAATCTTATTTTAAGAAAAACTCACAGTGCCACAAACCCTCTTTAAAAATGAAAAGGAACATCAAAATGAAGCATTGTTCTCTTTTTTGTTCCCCATCTAACAAAACCAAGGCATTTTATTGCCTTGCAATCCACCTGGCTGTGCTGTTGGCCAAGAAGCCTCAACCCCTCTGCTTCCCCAGTAACCAAGAGAAAGTGACTAATCCATTTGCAGTCTCCTGTGACAGCTAATATAGCCTACACCACACTCCTTTTTTAGCAGTGAAAGAAAGAAACTAATGCGGATATCTAAGCAGAGCTTGGAAAGTTTTTTTCAAAGTCACTTTGTGGCCTAAATCCTGGTTCCTTTTTTAATTTAGCTCACTCTGGAAGAGCCCTTAAAATGAGATAACATATCACTCCTGTTGAGTTTAACGTGATTCCTGTTGATTTTAGCTACAACTTTTTCATGTAGCTGCTAGCTCCTTTTTCCCTTGTGCTGCTGGATGAAAAACAACCATCTTGCTTTGAAATGTTTAAAAGTAAAAAAGAATAGAAAATATTATTACTCTTGCAATAACAGTGATAAATTGTTTTTTATAACATTGGTACTATAGATATTTTGAGTGAATTCCTATACACTACCCACATGCTATGCTGATGAAGATATGAGTATTATTATTATGAGGAAAATGTGTCTTTACAATGCAAATTAGCATTATGTAACAGGAATGGAGGAGCCCCCGGTGCCTCAGTGGGTTAAAGCACTGAGCTGCTGAGCTTGTTGATCGAAAGGTCGCAGGTTCGATTCCGGGGAGTGGCGTGAGCTTCCGCTGTCAGCTCTAGCTTCTGCCAACCTAGCAGTTCGAAAGCATGCAAATGTGAGTAGATCAATAGGTACCGCTCCGGCGGGAAGGTAACGGCGCTCCATGCAGTCATGCCGGCCACATGACCTTGGAGGTGTCTACGGACAACGCTGGCTCTTCAGCTTAGAAATGGAGATGAGCACCACACCCCAGAGTCAGACATGACTGGACTTAATGCCAGGGGACTACCTTTACCTTTACCTTTAACAGGAATGGTTTACATTCCTGTTACAAACCATTGATGTAAGAACACCTTATGCATTTTGGGGCTCTTAAATTCTTTTGGAAACCTTCAGTATTCAAGATTCTGAGATCACCAAAAACTTTGGGGGAAATGGCACAGGAACTTTAATTAATCTGTTAAGTCAGAAGCCCTGTTTTACATCTCATTAGGATAATTACATTCAAAGTCCTAGGGGCACTAAACAAATAATATGTGGTAAAAGTAAATGAGATGTTTACAGCCCCCTCCCAAAATTTTATGGCCCAGATAATTTTGCTTACACAGCTGGGAATGTCTTTATTTATATATATTACTTGTTACTTCGAAAATGTTTAATTTCAGACTTCATACATGTTGTTAAAAATGAAAAAAGAATACTTTTTCCCATGGTGAATACTAATTTGGCAACTATGATATGAAAAAAAACAGTTATACCAAAGGAATTATAGCCAAAAGGTGTTTAGTATTTTATGATAATTATGCCAAGAGCACTACAGTGGTGACCTAAGGGCACAGGTACCTGGAGTTTGTATGTCTATATGTGCCTAAAAATGAGATGTGCTGACTATACCTCCGATTTCTGCAGTTATGCCGAAGTTACACACAGCCTGCTTTGATTCCACATCTGTTTCCAAGGTAACTAAAGGTTAACTTTCCTTTGAGCAAACAGATTCCCCAATCTCTTTGTTCTTGACTTTTGACAGAGGAAGAAAGCAGCCCCCTTGGGGTGGGGGGCATTTAAATCTCCTCTACCTGTGCACAGTGGGTTCATTCTAGATTAAACGTCATTCACCTACTTGTAAGGAAAAAAGAAGAAATATTTATCTATGCATTGAAAATTGTTGTTTGACTTCAAATTCTTGGATTTAAGACTATCCTATCATGTTGTGTGCCTTCAAGATGTTTCTGACATATGATGACCCTTTCATAGGGTTTTCTGGGCCTGATGACTTGTAATTTGCTTTTCACAGAGTGTTTTTTTTCTCCCAAGATTTATTAAGAGAAGTTTTGCCTTCCTTTAAGGCTAAGAGCAAAGGACTTGCCCAATGGTTTTTGTATTTGCTGAAAGCAAAGCCAAAGGCTGCCTTAGTGCCTTCCCTTCCGTCTGTAAATTAATGGAGTCTTGCCTATAGGAGCAGAGAAAAGGGGAAGCAGTGTTTTCTGGGAACAGCACAGAACTCTGGGAAATTGGGAAGGGAGGAGCCCTATGCCAAAGAATTCAAAAGACCCTGCCCAAAAGTACATTTCCCAGAATATCGTGCACTGCTCACCATCACAGAGATTTGCCTCTCCGTAGCCAACCAGAGTTCCAATAAATTATTATTTTTGTTTCTGGGTTATACATGTCATTTCCTAATTCTTTCTATCATAAAAACATGGTGAAAGTTTATTAAACAGCAATAAATTGTCTTTACACAAGGGACATCATGTTATAGCACATTTTGCTATTGAGTCCACCAATTTAACATTGTCATCCACCCATTTAACAAGGTTTTTGGCGCAAAAACAGAGTTCCCAGTGTAGAACCACTACTTTAAAAGTAAGAACTACACATATGAACAGGAAATAAAACTTTCAAACTAGGAACATGTTTTCTTTAATATTAAAAAAAATGTGGTTTATAAAAACTTTGAAAATTCCCCAAATATCTGTGGATAAGTGAAACATTCTGAAATTTGGTGGGGTAAGAGTAGTAAATGTGTTCTACTATTCCAGCTAGTTTTACCCCAATATCTGTAATAACAAGTGAGAAATGAGCCCCTGAATTTTCCCCAATCATAGTCATTTTACGCAATTACTATAAAGAAATAATAACAAAATTTTATTACTCTCGTTATAGTAACACATTTTTCACTAACTATAATTTAGAAACACTTTATAAATGAAACACCAGCACCTCCCAGTTTTGTAATGACTTTTGAACCATCTTGCACATCTCTACTAGCTAGTTAGCTTTCTTGCTTGCTTTTTCTTTCTTGCCTGCCTTCCTTCCTTTTAAAAAATTGTAAAGTAAGTCTCCTGATCAATTGCTTTGTAAGAAACAAGTGCCTTTACCTTTCAGCTCATCCAAAGAAACATGTCGAATGAACGTAGCAAAACTAAGACTGACAATAATGTTACAGAATATAACTGCCCTTCTGCTGGCTGTAAAATGCAGACAAGAAGGAAGGGAGAAGAACACAACAAACGTACAAGATGACAATATTGCTCACAAAACCCCAGGACCCCAAAAGGCCAAGGAAGATGCCATGAAGGGTCTTACTAGTCAAGTCAAAAGGTGACCTTTTCCTGTGATATATGATCTGACTGACATTCAGAGGCAACCTTTGGTCCAGATTCATAGTTGCACAAGCACACACACCGGGGGGGGGGGGGGAATGCAGGACTAGTCCCATTATTACTTCACACAGCTGACATAATCACCCAGTGACCATACCTTCCCAGCCAACAATGAAACCTTTCACCCAGCAATGGTGAGCTAGAAAAATCACCTAGGGTGCTTCCAGACAGAGCCAAAATTGGGGCAAAAAAATGCAGGACCTGACAGCAGGTCCACATACAGACCTGTCAATCCCGGGAGGATTGACAGGTCCTCACACCTTTCTTTGAAGCAAATTAAGATGAAAGACAGATGGAGAACATCCGGCGGAAGTTTTTTTAAAATCACTCCATTATTCACTGGACCTCATATGTGCACATGCAAATATCTTAATGTAAACAAGCTGATTTCATGTCTCTCTCTTCATTCAAATGTTAGTTCAAGCTCTGTTTAATATTATAAAGTTTCAAAGAAAGAGTTTCAGAGAGTTCTAATTGTTTTCCACTTGAGCTCCCCTTGAGCCACCTATATGTCCATGGCTTCATGTTTTCACAGCCGAATCAGCTGATCATCTGCTTCAGGCTTTTTAAAAGTGCATGTGTGCTGGAGCAGTCTACATTGGGGTAAGGAAAGGAAAGCACGTGTTTGCATGACTGCAGGGATACATAGTCATGAGAAGGATATACAGCCATGTCAAGGTGCACATTTTTGGGGCAGAATTGGATTTTAAGCACATCTTCAGCTGTTAACCTGATTTCTCACAAACTTTGGCTAAATGTTGTTTAGCCACCCCACCCCTTTTAACCCAGTGACTTCCGGGTTTTTAGCCATGAGTCACCCAGCACCCACTGAAGTAGACCCAGAAAACAGCCACAAGCTTCAAACTGAGAAATGACTGTCTGTTAAAATTTCTGCCAGACAAGGAAACCAATCATCTGCAGCGGCAGACAGTGCACCACCGCCAATCAGTACATGGACTGTTATTTGAGCCAATCAGTGCCCAGAGCGACAAGAGTCAATTGTAGGAATAGTTGTCAAACCTCTAGAAATGTCTCTGTATGTATCTGTTACTTGATGTATGATTTCAGAGTGCAGACTCTCTGACATCCATTTTTGAGCAAAGTGAATAAAGCCTCTGTTCCTTGCCTTCAACCCATTAGTGTCTTATTTGATCCTTGGGAGCCTAAGCACACTGGGACCCCAAATCTGTGAACTTGTGGAGCTGAAATCACATATCACTAGAAAGGGGGGAAACTGCATAATAAAAGAGGGAGCCATTGTGAAGGCATAAGGTGAGGCAAGACATAGGAAAGAAAAGAGGATGAGAGATGCCATGGGTAGGTGCAGGAAGGAGGTACACGTTGAAAAAAAGTACAAGGAAAGTAGCTGTGGTTTGAACTTCCTCCCCTGTAAGGCAGATATCAACCACTATCCATGTGCATGACCTGCGTTCTGAAGGTTTTTCAAAGCCTTAATAAGGGATGAGCAACTTTTGCCAATATTGATGTAAAGGTTAGTCTTTTAGGACTGGACCTAAACATTACATCCAGATGGCAAGAGCTGTTTGGCATTGGCAGTGGACTATGCTGCCTCAGAGTGTGATGGGCTCTCCTTCTCTGGAGATTTTTAAACAGAGATTGCATGGCCACCTGACAGGAGTATTTTAATTTGGTGTTCCTGCATGGCAGGGACTGGATAGCCCTTGTGGTATCTTCCAGTTTTATGATTCTATAATCATGCATGGATTTGCATATCTACAAGCATTACAATATTTACCTGGATCCATTATTTCACTTTGATTGGGACTGCCATGTGAATTTAGACCTAGATTTGGTTAAATAAAATAAAATAATAATCTATTGTTCCTTCAAAAGACTCCAGTTACACCTCTCAATATTGTACAACTATCAATATGACTCCTGACCACCTAAAATGCTGGGTGCAATTAGGAGTACATTTCCTCATTTGATCAGGAGAGGAAACTGCAAGCGCTTCATGCTTGACTCATTCATTTAAGACTTCAGTTTGTGAACGCTGATGGGTTTTGCACAACATATCTTTTTTCTTATTCCTTTGAAAATCGAGATAGGGGATTCAATTTATTATTGGGAATTTGGAGTTTCCAGGTCAGTAAAGCTGTGGATTTGAAGCATAAATTTATTATTTATTTACAACATTTCTACCCCACCCTTCTCAACCCCTGAGAGGGGGGGGGGACTCAGAGCGACTCTGAACCTTGTCCCCAAAGCAGGTTTGGCATCCTGGGCAGCTCTCTTGAAATTTAAATTTCAGAGTCGATTCACTAGGCCACCAATATAGAAGCTCCAGTCAACA